ACTACAAATTTTGGCCGTATTCAATATATATGTATATATATATATATATATATATATATATATATAATATACTATATGTTGAAATGCGTTTTTATTACACAAAACATATGAAAAATTATAAAAAAAAAATACATTTCAAATAAAACTGTAATGTCTTTAAAAATACAAATCTACATTTTTTGGAATGCGTTTACAAATATATGTAAAAATATATGTTAAAATTACTTTTTTATATGTTAAAAAAAATCTGAAGAATATATTTTAAAAAATATATATTTTTAAAAATGTATATATTTTTTAAATATATTCTTCAGATTTTTTAAATTTATATTCGACTTTTGATTTATATATATTTATATATTTTGAAATATATTGAATTTGGCCAAAATTGTAGTATTTCAAATATATGGCAATATATTTAGGAAGAAATATTTTTAAAATATATTTCAAATATATTTTTCTTCCATATGGCAGTGTAGCGATACCCCCATAGGAGTCAACAGTTAGATAGGCCCTTATTTTCCTGTAGTTTCGCCTCGCAGTCAGGCACACAAACACAATCACTCTTTAGCTCTGTAAACAGTCCAGAGAGATTCTTTTTGGTATTTTTTGGGGATAACTTGGATAGGGTTGGGGATGAGTGGGATGTTTCAAAAAGATGTATAAATTTATATAACCTGCGAGCCAAAATAACCTCAATTCTAGTGGATCGCCAACATAAAACACATAACTACCACTGTGTATCAAAATATTTCACTGATGTATGTTGCGCTCCTTAATACCTCATAATCAAAAAACCCTTAAACCATAATTATTTTTTAAAAATTCCAAATCCCATTAAACAATTAATAGATACCTATTAAAAGTGATTTTGTGCCAACCAATCAAAAATTTTTTAATTATTAATTTAAGGGTAAAAAAAATCACTTAGTCATAAATTTTGTATTTTATTGAGGATTATTAATTTACAATTGATTTCACACTAATAATTTTTGATTTAGTAGAAAGGATAGTGAGCGCTCTCTTAAATGTCAGCAGCTAGAACACTTTAGGCAACCACAATGCCTCAAAATATATCAATAACTTTAAAACAACAGAGTGCAGCGCTTATCAAAGTAAAAAAGTCACTAAATAAGTGTCCACAGTAGTTCACTGTACAAATGCGAATTCCCACGGCTACCACTCTGTCAAATAACAGAGGGAAATGCGCACTCACCGGAAACGCATGGGTTATGCGCATGTGTGATCATGCATCACAAGCAATGGGTACATCAGAGGTCAGGCAGCCAAGCATCTCCCTCACGGTCAGGCAGCCTCCCCTCTGATGATGTGCCTCTAGCACGAAAGGCCTAAGGAGGAGCTGCGCAGAGCGTGACGTCATTCCACCGCCGGAGCCACGAGGAGGCCCGGCGGCCATCATTACTAAGGGGTCAGTACTGCTGTTTACTGTTTTACATGGTGTTTGACATGCATACTGCCCTGCTATATGTTTTAAATGAATAAATACCTACTTTTGGACATACTACACTATCTTTGGCATTTGTGTTTTGGGGCTCCTGTTTGGAGCTATCATCCCCACAGAAAAAACACCCTTGCCATCCTGAGAGGAAGTTCTTTCACAAGGAACGCCTGGCTGATCTTAAAGGGAACCCTGTACCTGAGCTAAGAGTCTGTGAGGACCCACCGTGAGGGAGATGCTTGGCTGCCTGACCTCTGATGTACCCATTGCTTGTGATGCATGATCACACATGCGCATAACCCATGCGTTTCCGGTGAGTGCGCATTTCTGTTATTTGACAGAGTGGTAGCCGTGGGAATTCGCATTTGTACAGTGAACTACTGTGGACACTTATTTAGTGACTTTTTTACTTTGATAAGCGCTGCACTCTGTTGTTTTAAAGTTATTGAATAATTTTTGATTGGTTGGCACAAAATCACTTTTAATAGGTATCTATTAATTGTTTAATGGGATTTGGAATTTTAAAAAATAATTATGGTTTAAGCGTTATTATGAGGTATTAAGGAGCGCAACATACATCGGTGAAATGTTTCAAAAAGAACTATGTACAAGATGAGGAACACTAACTTTCTTCTGCAGCACTTTAGGCACAGTCCTTTTAGGGGCCAGTAATGGACTTGGCTTAGCTGAAGCAGATAAAGTCACAAAATTCTGACTTCGGTCCCCACCCTACCTACATATGTTTTGTCATAAGTGACATCATCAGAGTCATAGGTGACATCATTCATAACAAAACGTACGATGGAAGATTGTGACGTCACCATGAATGCATGACCGCTATCAGGATCTCGAGATTGTATTGTTCAATGCTGGCTTTTCTCAGTGAGAATGTGAGTGATTTTAAGTCTTGTTTACGGATTTACACTATGTGAGTGTCCTTGCTCCTGTCCTTCTATCTCTCTAAGCATTACCGAGTATATGTGAAGCCGAGGAAAGTTGAATGCTCATCAGAGGGAGGCTTTTGAATGTAGGACCTTCATTTAAGGGTGATTTGACTTCTCTATTGTTGAGAGTCACACTCATTGTGGTAAGCACATATGTGTGCTGTGGTGGAAGGGTCACTTGGGTGATTTTTAGTTTGAAGAGCACTTTTATTTGGAATTATTGCACAAGTAGTGGACACATTGTTTTGCATGGACTTTCATTATATGCTGGACAGTTTTTCGTTCATTTATTTATCTTTTATATACTGATTTATCACTTTAGTAGCGCTGCATATGCTTTGAAATTGAGATAACCTGTGTAAATGTAGGCCAAAAAGGAAGGAGTTGCAGTAGTTGAGGTGAGAGATAACAATGGAGTAGTGATGGGCCTAACAACCCCCTGTTCAGTTCATGGTCGAACATTTGTACCTATCAAAAGTTCATCCGCAAAGTTCGTACAGGGGCAATTCACTAAATGGTATCTTACCGAGTATGTGGTAAGATACCACACAGCGATTAAAATACTGCATGAGTTACATTCTCTCAACATGGAAGGGTGCTCTGGGGCAGGGGGGGGCGCCCGCCGAATGTCCTTACCGTTCGTGTGTTCGCTGAACACGTGAACGACCCTTGTTCGAGTCAAATTTATGTTCAACTCAAACATTAAGCCCAACACTACAATTGAGCCAATTAGAAGCTTGGTGCTGTCTATAGTTTAGAAGGGGAATATTTTGGAAATGGAAGGTGACGGTGGCAAGACTTGAAAGGAGATTTAATGCTGGTCCGGAAGAAGAGATCAGTGTCCAGGATTCTACATAGCACCCTGATAGTGCTATTGATCTGGATTGAAAAAAAGTCAGGGGAGGGCACACAAGGGGTGGAGGAAATATCATGAGCTCAGTTTTGGTTTGGTAAATTAGTGAGCCACAAGGAGACCAAAGCAGGTGAGCTGAGAATAGAATAGAAGGAGTCTGAGGATAGAGACTTGAGGGACTCAAAGAAAGAGGAAAAGGAGAGGAGGAGATGGAGCTGTAGGTGACACTGAAGGAGCAGTTAGATAGGTAGGAGGAGAACCAGGAAAGAGCAGTGTTGGAGGTAAAGTTTTTTTGAGAAGGAGCATGTGGTCAACTGTTTCAAAAGCAGCAGAAAGCTCTAATCATAAATAGTGTCCATTGGTTTTATCATTGTTTAGTTTTAGAAGGGCAGTTCCACTTGAGTGTTGCCAGCAAAAGCCAAGCTGTATGAAGGTTGTAATCCGTGAGGTAGCAGTTCAGAGGATTGTAGACTATGCATTCTAGAGGTTTGGAGGTATATGGGAGCAAGAAGATGGATCTTAAGATGTTCAGACTGGTGGGGTCCAGTGAGAGCTTTTAAGTCTAAGGGTGAACAGATCATTTTAGAACAGAGCAGAAGATGCCAGTAGAGAGCAATATATTAAAGATATGGGTTATAGAGCACAAAACAGAGCAAGAGGGTGTGAGAAATGGGGTACATGGTGTAGCAATCGTACGTACAGAGATGGACGCGGTCATCCATCTTGCTCAAGACCCTTTATCTTGTATCTCTCTCTCTCCCTCCAATCCCCCCTTCTCAGGAATGTGGTCTGTGTGTGTATGCTGAGTTCAAAAGGCATCAGGCCCCAGCTGGAGAGCTTCATGGTTATAAATCCCAAATTAGCTTGTACCCGGGTGTCTGTTAGCTTCTCAATCTGAGATAATCATAAAGCCACAAACCAGTCCTTCACTGGACTTCAAATGCATTCCTAGGTAGCCGTAAAACAGGCATCACATTTAAAACCCACTTTTCCCTATAATTTCATATCTTATGGTAGGAAATAATTACCTAAAAATAAAGCACATATTCGGATAGCTCATCTTAATGCGAGTCACCTGATATCTTTCACCCCTAGATTACATATACGCGAGATTGGAAAGCCATATAGATCTAGCTGGAATGGTAAAATATGGCATGTTTGATATCTAGACATTCAGCAGATGATTCTGCAAAATTTAATAGTGGCTAGGCTGCTACATGTCCCTAGGGAAGGTTATTGACCATGATATAACTTATGAGGGATTTGGTCATAGCCTGAGTTCCCCGCCTACAACACCCCTCCCCAAGTGAGGCGATTGGTTCTCTGCTTTAAGGAGACACCCTGCTGAGTTCCTAGAAAAAGGCTGTCAGGTTTGGAGAAGAACTTGAAGAATTCTCCCTTTTAACATCGGAACCAACTTTGGGAGAACGGTACCCTTTTGCTCAGGACCCTTGAAGCTGCTTAAACCAAGGCTGACGGCAAGTATTCTACCTCTCTAAACTTCTTTCTGTTATCTCTCTATTGTGGTATTGCTCTCTGTATTTACATATATATATTGGCTACATCTTTTTCTGTAAATACTTTTATTGCACCATTTTGACCTTTTTAGTAATAAATCTTATTTTCTGAAAAGTGTTGAACTGTTTCTAAAGCTCTTTAATGCAAACTAAGAATACCTATCTCTGAAGAGACTGTGTGTTTTTAAACCTCTATATACATCTGCCTGCGGTGACAGTGTGTATACAGACGATTATTCAAACATCATAGTGTTATTGCCAGGGGTGGACTGACAACTCACGGGGCCCCCGGGCAATAGGGGATCATGGGGCCCCTGTGTCCTTGCCCAAACTCAAAAAAGCCTATGAAAAAGTTGCCAGGGGCATCTCATGGGGCCCCCTACTAACCCCGGGCCCTCGGACAGTGCCCGAGTTTCCAAATGGTCAGTTCGCCCCCTGGTTATTGCTAATATTGGCGAGTTTTCTCTTTCTCTGTATAAACAGGAGGTGGTGGCAGTGCGAAGGGTTAATTGCGTAATTAACCTGGCCCAGTAACAATCGCTCTCAGGCTGCAGGCACATAGATTGTGGTCCATTCGCTGGAAAATCTTTGTGCAGGGTGCAGCTGAGCGTGGCATTGTTACGCACGTGACAGCGTGGTTTTAGATTGGCTAGTCCTTCGGTCACGAGTTGGTGAGAAGGGCTGGGGGTCTGACGCCGCGATCATCACACATGGGGCGAGTGGTGAGATGTACGTCATAGAAAAGCTTAGCAACCTCCTCTGTAGTAACAGGGTCAAAAGATGAAAGTATTGAATGTGCTGGTGGACACGATATCTTAAGAGATATCTGGACAGGGGAGATTTTATCACAAGTTGCATTTATCTTTGTTATCAAAATGATTGCCAATGTCCTGGGCGGTGAATACGTTAATAGGTGGAGGCAATGGGGGAAAAAGGTAGCGAGTTAGGGGTTGAAAAGTGTTGATGAGGCCTGGATGAGGGGGCATTAATGAAAGTGATGTAATGGGAATGTTTGGCAGCACAGATGAGGAATTATATCTTAGGAAGGCAGATTAATACAGGGTGATGTCTTGTATGGACTTAGTTTTAAGCATTTGCCCAAGAGCATGGCTTATGAGACCTCTGATGCTGATCTGTTTTCCAAGGATTGTAGCGGTTGAGGCCTAATTTGTGTGTGTAGAACGAATGTGACCAAGAAGGATGAGCTGTGTAGGCAAACGTGGCCAGGTCAGGGCAGGACATAGGTGAGACTTTGATGTAGAGTAATTTGTAGCAAAATAGAGAAAAGAAGAGTTAAAGTGGTAAAGGTTTCTATAAGAAACTCTTTAATGGGATGAGCGTAAAACAATGTTGGAGCAGCCTTACCAGTTGCCTTCTCTTACTTGGCTTCTTTAGATTGCAGGAATGCTTTAACACTCTTACATTTGCTCATGGTAACCCTCACTCCCTTTTGTCCATTGTCTCTCCAGATGTTTCTCTCCATCCTGGGCGCAGCTGCTGTACTCTGTGGATCACTCTTCTGCCTCACAATGTCTGTTGTGGCATTACACCGCGGGCCAGTCTGTCAGTATTATGCCCCTGAGAAGACAAATACTACTAGCTCCCCAGTCCCCACCACCAATACTTCCCTTATCTGGGGTCGCCCATTTGAGAAACCACTGATTGAACACAAGTGAGTTCCGTACATTTTTAAAAGGTCAGTTCACCCAAAAATGTCAATTTCAGTTACGACAGTGGAGGGATGAATCACTCACTTGCTTTTTTTACTTCTTCGTGTTCTCCATCATTGACTTTGTGCATTGAGCTTTATGCCATAATGTACTTACCTGCCAAGCAATCCCCTTCAGCAATATTGTGCAAGCGCTCCAGTCAATCAAGGGTGCTTCCAACTTCTCCTGGTCTTCCTTCTGAATTCTGACATCCTAGCAACAATGCAGGATGGGGGACACCAACACTGGAAGTTTTTCGGCCAGGGTTCGAGAGTACGTAAATGTCCTACAACTATTGTGTGGGCATTACCCAACCTAAGTCAGTTTGTTTTTATTTTTTGGCAAAGGTGAACTAACGCTTTATGTCTTCATGAAGGTGGCCACTCTGAACCCCCGAAACACATTTTGTTTTTTAAACATATTGTGACAAATTATATCTGAGCTATGAAATTGCTTGACGTTGGTACAGTTTTCCAAGAGCCAACAATGGCCCCTTCACACCACAACTGACTACTGAAAGAACTTCCCCCCAATGTCAGGGATCCAGCACTTCACCAATCTAATGTCCTATCAGGTCTGAGATAATGGCACTACTGGGGTATGTTAGGTCACCCACCGTGTGCTCCATACTTAGCTATCTCACCCTCTATATCAGTATAGAATGACTTGAGTCACCTCAAAGTATTCCTGTATAGATACAGTATGTACTCTGTTAGTTTCTTAACATGTTGGTGCTTTATAAATTTGGGAAATAACATACCAACCTCTTTCTTTTCAGCAATGAAAACTATCTATACCACTCAGAATTATGGGACACGTGTGTGGAGCCTCCTAATGTGGTGGAATTCAACATCGTACTTTTCTCCATCTTGCTAGCGGCGAGTTCCATTGAGGTCATCCTGGGTGCTGTCCAGCTGTTCAATGGTCTATTTGGCCTCATCTGTGGAACCTGTAGGAAAAAGGATGATGACTACGAGGACATGATGAAAGATGACAACAAGAAAGGACACAAATGTGAGCAACACTTAACCTCATTTTTCACCAAGCCATACAAAACTGTCTGTGCTGATCAGGGCTATTTTTCGCAGAGAATAGGTGCAGGAACTCCCCTCTTCTGAGTAACCCCCTTGTCTCTTCCCCCAACCCACCTCTGAGCGCCATCCCTTGGTTCCACTCCCAACCCACCTGCCAGTACCACCCCTTTTATAGAAATCAGAACCAAGTAACATTTTGTAGTGCTAAGTAGTGAGTATAGAATTTGTTAATGACAGTAAGAAAAGCAGTAAAAAATAGATCAGCAGCAGAATCGAATAGCAGCAAGCAACAATAGACCCCCACCAGCATCAATAACCCCCTCCTCTTAGCAACAATAGATCCCCTACACAATAAAAGACCCCACAGCAATAATGGATCCCCACACAACAAAATGCCACCCCAGCAACGATAAACCTCCAGCAGCCACAACAGATCTCCAAGCGCCTAGCATTTTTAAACCCTCCAACAGCCAGCATCAATAGACCTTAACCTCAACAATAGATCCCTCAGCACCTTAAGTCACCCCTAGCAACAATAGACCCCAATGAAAAAAAAAAACAGATCCCCTCCAGTATCTATAGATCCCCCAGCAGCCAGCATCAATAGACCTTTCAGCAGACCCCAGCACATTCTTGCCTTTAGATCCATTCAGTGCTGGAGGTGCCGGAACTGCGTTCCCCCACGTTCCCGTTCCTGCTGTTAATCCATTTCAACCAATCAGTTTAAAGAGACAATGTTACTTGGCCCATTCAGGGTGAATGACAGTCTGCACATAGCCCATCCCCCTAGGTATGTAATGTTACCCTCATCACCTCCCCACAGTACTGGAGCCCTAGTCGCCAGTTGAGCAGGGCTTCTGTGTCTGAGGGAGCTCATGACCAGTGGCCAATCAGCAGTTCCCAACAGTACCTACCATACGCTACACCATCTTGTAGTGATGTAGTGGCCTGAACCAGAGCGCATAGCAGGAGATCCAGGTATCCAACACTCCCCTATGTGTGTCAGATGCTTAAAGGGTATTGGACTTTTGCAATCCAATTTGATAAAACCCCACTACATGTGTGTTATGTGTTCCCATTCACATAGCATACCTATAATAAAGAAAATACCCCCAAAAATTATAATCTTTTAGATTTTTCAATGGAAAGGGTGTCATATCTGACTCTAAGACAAGTCATAGATGAATCGATTTTCTTCACTTCCAATAGTGGTGAAAGGAAACAAAATTGCTTTGGTCCTCCTTCAACATAGTCAGTGTTAATGGGGGAATGCCTCCTGCTGGCAGGGGAGGGGAGCAGGGAGCTTTCCCGGCCGGCAGAATATGATTAGTGCTGGCAACTATAGCTGACGGCCCTCTACACAGCCATTCACTGGGAAGATCAGTGTACTGCTGTTTCTCCAGCCCCACCTCCCTATGTCTCTTATGCAGCTGAGAACAGAGATTGTGATCACTTATTTAAAAAAAAAAGATAATTATACATTATATTTTATATGTATGCACAAACCTCTCATTTCTATTATAAAGTGGTTATAAAGGCGCAAGGTTTTTCACCTTAATGCATTCTATGTATGAAGGTAAAAAAACCTTCTGTGTGCAGCAGCTTCGCCCACAATATTTACCTGAGCCCCATCGCTGCTGTCAATCACTGCCAGTAAGCCAATCAGGAAAGAGAGGGGGTGGGGCCAAGCCATGACTGTGTAAATGGGAGGGGCCAGGAGCACCATCAGGGACCTGAGATGGGGAGGATCAGGTTGTTAAAAAAGAAATGCCTTTAATAGCATTTTAAACTACTGTAAATATTTTGAAAGGTGAGGATTCACATAAACTTTACTCCACAGTCCCCTCCTAAACATTACAAAGCAGGGAGAGCATGTAAGGAATTTTAAGCAAGTAAAAAGCACCTACAGAGGTAACTAGCAAATATGTATTTTATTCTGTAAGTTATGCTATATTAATGGAAACGTAGCAAAAATAAAGTAGCAGGGCCGGTGCTTTCACTAAGCAAACTAGGCGGCCGCCTAAGGCGCACTGCCACATAGGGGCACCTGGGCGCTGTTACTTCATGAATGATCCTCCAGCTGAGAGGAGGGGCGGCAGAGGGGGAGGAAGAGAAAGGACAGAAGAAGATGCTGGGTGTCTTGGGCCATTGTGGCAGCTGAGCTGTTGCTCCTTCCAGTGTTCCTCTCAGACTCAGTCCCTTACTGCAGATGGTGGCTGCTAATCACTGTGGAGTTCCAGCCCTTCTGTTCCCATTCATCATTGAAGGTAGAGCTGCGCCTGATGTCTTGTGTCTGTGTGAGTGTGACCCGACCAGCTGACCATGTGCAATGTGTCAGTGAGGGATACTAACAAGGGTCCTAACATACATTTGGACTTTTAACACTGGAAATTTTTTTATTGAATAGAAAGATCAGATCAGATAATGCATTATAAAAAAAAAAAAAATATATATATATATATATAAATTGATTACATAACATTTGCATTTGATTAGTTTGAATGCATTTTAATTTGTTTTCTTGTGTGTGCTCTCATTACAGGTTAATCCAGCGATCATACTTGGAGCAAGAAGCACATTCCTTATAAATCTGTAAT